ACGAGTGCCGTACGGAGCATATGGCCCCCAAGTCTTCTAAGCCGGGCCGGCCCAAAATGGCGTTGTGGGCGCATTTCAGGCGGACCACGACGAACGTCATTCCGATCCGGGCAGTGTGAGGGCCGTCGCCGATCTCTACTGGCAAGATGATGGTGCCCTCAGCGTCAATGCAATCCCCGGTGAAGCCGGACAGCGGGGTACGCAGAGGGTGTAGCATGTCCTTCCTGAGCTTCATTCCCTCAAAAGCCTCCCAGTAGAGGACGTTTACACTGCTCCCGGTATCAACAAGGACGCGGCGGACGATGGCATCGTTCACGTCCATGCTGATCACCAGCTCGTCTCTGTGCGGCGCTGGTGACATCGGCAGATCGGCGGGACCAAAGGTGATTGCCTCAATCTTGTTGCGCTTGGTGGGGGGTGCTGATACGGAACCCACGTAGAGTGATCTCTCAAATTTTTTCCGCTCGGCAGGTGTATCCCCTGTCTCAGCGCCCCCGAAGATCACCTTGATCTCCAGCTTCTTCTTTTTGCCCTTCGGGCCAAGGGACCCTTCCGGACGTTTGTCCGCACTCCGATAATCCACATCCTGGGGCTCTGCCTCGCGCCGGTCGTCGCGGTGCCATGTCCGGGGCCTTGGGTTCGGCTTCTGCTGGCTGTTTTTGTTCAACAGCTGGGTGAACTCGCCCAAGTACCCTGACGGATCAGCTCGTCGATCGCTTTCTTTTGTTGGCTGCAATTGTCCGTCAGGTGGCCGGCCCTCTGATGGTATTCACAGTAGGCCGATTGGTCAAGTCCCATATGCTTCTTCATATCTTGGGGTTCCATCAGGAGGCCCTTGTCCTTGATGGCCTCAAAGATTTGGCTCACTGGATAGGCCAATGGGACATAGCGGTCGTCCGGCCGCGTCTGAATATCTCCGGACGGAGCCTTCCAAGGGACCATCGCCCCGTCCGCCTTCTTCTTTTTGTTTGGGGGGGAGGGCCCGGCCCCCGGTCTGGGTCCGAGCCTGTCCGCCATCTTCCGTGGGTGGGCCGCGGGAACTCCGTCCCGCTGCCTGATCTCCTCCTCGATGGAGGCATACTTCTGGGCCCGGGCCAGAACCTCGGTGTAGCTGGTGCCGGGGTTTCTCCTCAGGTCCCGGTACAGATCTCCGGTGGCTAAGGCACTGGTGAACATGTTCGTGGCCAGACGTTCGTCCAGATCGTCGACCTGCAGGACCTCGTCCCTCCACCTTACCAGGAACCTAGCCAGCGGTTCGTCCCGCCCTTGTTTGATGTGGGCGAGGGCCGTGACGTCCTTCCTGGGGGTGGTGCTGGCAGCGAATTGGGCCATGAACTGCCGGGAAAGCTGTTCGTATGAGTCGATGGTGCCCGGCCTCAGCTGACCGAACCATTCTTGCGCCGGCCCCCTGAGGGTGCTGAAGAACAATCTGCAGATGGCCTCGTCCGATGCTCCCAGCATGGACAAGTTCCCTTGGTAGCTAATCAGATGGGCCTTGGGATCACCGGCCCCATTGTACACCAAATTGCCCGGGGGCCTGCAGTCCCGGGGAATCTCGACGCTCATCACCCGGGGGGTGAAGGGTGATGTGAGAGAGAACGAGGGCGTGGCCGAGCCGACGTCCGTCCGTCTGTTCATCTCAGCTATCTGCCGCTCCATTGCTTCCAGCCTCGCCTCCTGTGCGGCCCTTCCGGGGGACACAAGGGGCACGGCCTCGAGAGCCGCGTTTCGCTGAGCGGCCACAGCATCGTGCGGCCGCCTAAGGATTTGCGCACCTCGCCGCTGGAAACGTCGTCCAACGGTGTTGATCCTTGGGGTTTCGTCCCCTCGCGAGACTTGGCGGGGAACTGATGGCGTGTGCGCCCTGAGAGCAGCGATGCTGGCCTTGGTTCGCCCTCCCGTTCCACGGGAGCCTGAACCTCCACCTAACCGCTCATGGACTGAGGGCCGGTTGTCGCTGGACCCTGTCGTATCATCGTACGACTGCATACGGCGGATGGGAGAGAGGGGTGTTCGCTGGGTGCTTGCAGAGTACACCTGCTCTTGAGCCTCCCGTTCGTCTGCCAAACGGCGCATGGTGTCGGCAAGCTCCCGCATGAGACGGGGATCCTGCCTGGCCTCAAGGGGAATGAGGTCAGTGATACCCCCGTTTCCCCCGGAGGTCCAGATCGTTGCGGACAGTTCCGAGTTCTGGCCGCGATTCCGGCGGCTTGATTCCAGACGCTCGGAGAGGTCACGCTGGTTGTTGCTTCCTGACATCGTGTTTGCTGTAGGTAGATTTAGTAGCTGTTTTGGGAGAGTTTCTGGAAACTTTTCGTTCAGCTTCCCACAGACGGCGCCAGTGTTGAGGTTTATTCCTTCAACCTTCAGGCCCAACACGCAAGCCCAAAGATTTCGAGTGGAGCGAGTGTACGAGTATGTGAATATCTAGCCCAACAACTATCAGATGGATCAGGAAACAGAGGAAATAGCAGGCAATGTAAATAGGTATTATTAACTTCGTAATAACTCCCCTAAGTACAATCTACTTGCTAAAAAGAGGCACGTCGGCCGTTCGTCTTACAAGGCAGTTAGAAGTGCTGCGAGTAAGGATGCTAAAGCTAGAATACTAAGAATAGAAAGTTGCCAACCCTTTACAATGAAATAAATGCTTCTATTTATACCCACCAATGGGCAGGTGGCTATGCTGACGTGGAGGCCTGTGGACCGCTGGTGTCCCAACCACCAAATCTTCAGCATTAAATGCACTTCCCGCCAGAATCTAGGTTTCCCGCCTAAATAGTGGGGACGTTCGTCCGCCCGGGAGGCGAGCTGGATTGCTCCAAGTGACCCTCAAGAGGTTTCGGCTGTTCGTCTCCTGGCCTTGATGGATATTCACCACGTGGACTGGGTTTTCCCCGATGACTATAGGCTTGCTCTGGAGACGTTCGTCGTCATCCCTGGTGGCCTGTGGTCCTGCTCCTTGTCCCCGCATAGACGTTCGTCGGGATGAGCCGTTGGGCCTGAACCCCCAACCCCAGACGTTCGTCCCTCCTCAAGGAACATGGGCCTGCGTGCTAGCCTTGTGTTCTAGCTGGACGTACGTCTGGTAAAAAGGGGTTAATGGGCCGGACCTCGGCTTGGGCCATTAACCCAACACATGTTTTCAAGTCAACTCAAATCATTCACAAACTGGCGGTAAGTTAGTTAATAATGATAATAACTATAATAATAATAATAATAATAATAATAATAATAATAATAATTATAATAATAATTATTATTATTATAGTTATTATTATTAATTACTGATTTTTTTTATGAATGGTATGTGCAATTTTTTTGAAGACTGTACATGATAAGAGCTAAATTTGGAGGTGGTGATACCGTATTTTCTTATCATAATCAATATTTCAAATAAAACTATATATTGAAAATTGGTTTCTTTGACACACAATTTTTAGAGCCCGTTTGATAATCCTGTTTTCTGACTTATCAGACTTATAAACAAACTTTTCCACCAAACGCGTAACTTTTAATTTTGCGCACTAAATTATATAAAAAATAAGAAAAAGTAAAGTTGAAGACACTTTTCTGGTTGTATTGGCTAAATTATATAAAATGACTGTAGATGATCATTTTATCTATTTTTCATACGGAGTATAATATTTTCTTTATTTTATTAATAAATATATTTTAATTTTTTTTCATAAATCAACATAATCTTCCAAAAAACCCATTTCAACCAGAATTTCATATATTTCAGCATAATCACGCAATACAACCGGCTTGGGTTTCACCAAACATGCCCTTAGTGTAACTATTTATACTTCTGTGAATGCAATAGCAATGATTTTTTCAAATTTTTTAATATGTCATTCTTAACTTTTGTATTCAAGTTGAGGACACCACATTCATTCTTTTTCAAATAGAATGAATAACATAAATTCCCATGAATTAGATCATCTATATAGGGCTTTTTTATTACCCAAAATCAAACCTACATATGATACTTTATGTGCTTCTTTACAAATTTGTGCAAACATTCTACTTGTAAGTTTTGTGTTTTTTCTTCACCCTTCTTGAATTTCTTGAATTTAACTTATGATAGTTTGGCAATCAATTCATATACTTAATCATTGGTCAACAAATAATTCAGGACAATTATCTCATGTGCACCGGTTTGTAATTATCTAGAATTTGAGTAAATAATCTTATCCTTTTACAAATTTACAATACAATTTCATTTGATTAATGGTAGCATCTGATTTTAAAATTAATTCGAAAAAGAAATGACTCCTTAATAAAAAAACTAGAAATAGATAGGATCATTTGAAATGGTGACAAGCAAATAAAATGAAAAACCAAGAGAATATAAGTATACAAATTAACATAGAAGGGTGTTATCTTAATTAAGTTGAGGAGCGGGTCTGAGATCTTTGTTTAAGTAATTTAGTGAAGATAGTTTGTATTATTTCAAGATGTTTTTAGAGAGTAAAACCTAATCCCAGGCTTAAAAGGACGCGCGGCCCATAAACAAAAGGACCCAAAAAATTTCGAACAAGGTCTACCGCCCCTGAATGAGTTTAGTTATATAGTCTCTAGCACCTTATAGGAAGAACATTCCTAGGGATATGAGGTACTGGTTTACTAATTAATCCAGCCTAGCTATTTCCCAATATATTTTCAAATCTATTTCCCGATATACTTTTAATTAAATCAATCTATTTATTATTTGCAAAAGTAAATATTTAACTTGCAATTCCAAGCAAGTGATTGCTACTGTCTGAGTCCGTGATCGAGTAGGGTGTAAATACATAAGATGAATGGAATAAAATTTGGAAACATTACTACTCCAGCTCGTAATATTAAATAATTTTTACAAAGAAAGTTTCAAATTAAAATTGAGTTTCCTAATTCAATTCGATCACCCTTTATTTAGTGTTGGATCCTAATATGATCAGCCAAAAATTTCTTATATATACGCACTTGGTATGTACTAATTCTCATTATTGATGCATGCTAGCTACAGTTCATCATATACATCGATCAAGGAAAAAATAACCATATAATTATGTCGCTATATTATGACTTCCTGGCCTGCTGGAATGAGAAAGAAGTCTCAAATAAGGGAGTTCCCACCGAGCTCAGCCTCTCTCTGGGGCCTTCCCCCACGAAGGATATCTATCCTCTCGACGGCCTCCTCTCGGACCACGAAGATAACAATGGAGTCTGCTTGACACTCCGGTTGTCGCCACCGGGTTCCAGTCTCTCTTCCGGTACTCCATGTAGTTGTAAAAGAAAGACACCTTCATGGGCCAAGCAGTCAAGAACTTATAAGAAAAAGGATGACACCACATCCCCGAGTACGTCAAAAACTTATAAGTGCGCGCGCTCTAAAGGATCAACAAAAAGAGAAGGCAGCGGGGTGCACCAGAGCCCTTCTCCGAGAGCGGGTCTCGGAGAAGGAGGTGGGGACGGGCCGTGGGTGAAGAAGATGCTGAGCGCGAGCGACGTGAACTCGTCGTCGAGGCTTTTGTTGCCTAAGGCAGAGATCATTGATAGGTACGTGTTGCCTTCTCTGGACGAGGAGAAGGAGACAGCCTGCCAAAGCGCGATGGGGCTGAGAGTGAAGGTGACGGACAAGGACTGCGACGAGAAATACGAGCTAACCCTTTTGCAGTGGAAAAGCGGAAGCTATGTGCTCACTAACAACTGGTCGGAATATTTTGTGAGACGGAGGATTTTGAAGGAAGGAGACTCCATTGAGTTGTCCTGGAATGCTCAAAACCTGGAGTTTCTCTTCCGCAAATCCACAAATTAATGTTCCTAGATCTACTTGACAATTAATTAATGTTGTCACCATTAATTAATTAGGCTTTGCTTGGACCGATTGCGTTCAATTCTTTTTTTTTTCTTTTTTAATTTCATTGGTAAATATTTCAAAAAAATTATATCGTTACAGTACAGTTTTTATTATAATCACATCCTTAGTACGTAGTATATACTTCGTATATTGCCCGTGGATTGAATTGAGATTGAATAATCACTAGAAAAAGTACTTCGTATATTGCCCGTGGATTGAATTGAGATTGAATAATCACTAGAAAAAGTTACATACAGGATTGGCATGAACCGCCGCCACCGCCCGGCAGTGACAGCCTCCACCCATCACCAGGGGCGGACCGTAGTACAAAAAATTTGTATATACAAGAAAAATAATTTTCGCCCTCTCAAAAAATATTTTGTTTAAGCTACCGCTCTCCCAAGATAAATTTCTCGGGTCCGCCCCTGCCCATCACCCACCCGCCCCCCACCAGCCCCCGGCTCCCAATAGTTTCTAATTTTTTGGATGAATTGGGTAAATTATACCATACACCCGGTTGTACGCTGCTCACCGTACAACCGGGTATTTTTGCAATTAATTACAACTCCCATGGTAAATGTTATTTAGTTCTGTTCTTCCCATGCTGCTCGATCCGTGAGGCTTGATGAATGAGGCGTCGATTTGCTCGCTCGATGAGGTCTGATGAAGGAGGCGCCGATCTGCTCGCTCGCTGAGGTCTGAAGGAGGCGTCGGTCTGCTCGCTCGCTGAAGTTCTGGGATTTTCTTCCACTGTTGCTCGGTGGGTGTTTGGACGAAGGGAATTAGGTTGTGGATTCAGCGTTGTGTGGTTGTGGCCTTCTATCCCCAACGCAAAGTATTGAACGGACTATTTTAGTTCTCAATTCCAACATAGTACCGTATATGTGTATTTTAATATTATATTTTAGTATTGTATGTCAAAATTTTGACCTTATCAATTACTAATATAAGTTGTATGTTATATATTGAAAATGAGTATAGTGAGTAACTGAGTATAATAAATGTGTATAACAGTTAAAAGAATTGAACATACATAAATGAATATTTGAGCACGTTAGAAAAATCAAATGAACACGCACGAATGAAAATTTGAGCACACTAGAGAATTCAAATGAGGTATACAAATGAAAATCCGAGCATACTGTAACTTTCAAATGAGTTTTTTGAATCTTTTCGTTGCTCATATCGTCAGTACCAATATTATGATTAGTTTTGTAATTGAAGAATAACAAATTATAAATTATTTCGATACTATTATTTATTATATTTCTCTTTGTTACGCAAATGAATATTTGAGCGCATCAGGGGTTTTTAGTGAGCTTTTGAATTTTTCAATGCTCATTTTATAATATATGATAAAAAATGCTCATTTTATAATAATGTATACTCATTCGGGACTGCTGTTATGCTCATTTTAAAATGTCATATCAATGCTTATGAAACTAACTAACGCTCAACATAATAAGTATCATGTTCATTAAAAGTGTATTAATGTTCATTTAACAGAAACCATTATTTCCATCTCAATAGAGGAGGTTTGATGCTCAATGAAAATATCATGATTTTCAACTAACAAACCAACTGACAAATTCATTAGTTCTCATTTTGTTAGTTACATATGTTTATCTGATACCGATCTTATACTCATATATTAAACTCCTAATACTCAACGTAATAGACCGAATGCTCATTAAAAGTTCATTAATGCTCATTCACAAGAAATTGTGGTTTTCATCTCAATAGCCGATATTTGATGTTCAATTAAAGTGGCGTGATGTTCAACTAACAAAACCTTATGATTTTCATATCAATGTACACTTTGTAATTATGTATGCTCATTTGGTACTAATGTAAAGCTCATTTTTACAATGTCATATCAATGTCATATCAACTTAATAAGAGTTGATTATAGATATAATTTAATAAGTTTTTAAATTGAAAAAATAAGAAAAAGAAAGAGAATTAGAATATATGAAGCAAATGTCGTGAAACTCATTGTTAGCCTCATAATACTCAATGAAATTGGTCAGATGCTCAGTAAAATTACACTATTGCTCATTTAGCGGAAGCTGCGATTTTTCGCTCAAATTTCAAAATTGCCACCGAAAAAAAATTGGCCTGTATTGATTGTTGGGCTGTCTTCCTTAGTTGGACCGGGTGTAGGTACACCCGGTTGTATGATATAGGCTCTCGATGAATTGTTACAATTTATTCAAATTTAAGATTAAATATTAAATTTATGATATTTATGATATTTTTAATATTTTACAATTAGATGAAAAGATATTTCTATAGTCTATCCAAATTTAAGAAAGAGAATTTACCCAAAATAGGACTAAAAAGGTTTGAAAATTCCAAAATATGACTGACATGTTTTTATTCCCAAAATAGGACTAATTACTGCCATGTTTTGGCCGTACCAGACTTCAAACATGACAGTATTTTCCAAACTTGGCAGTAATTACTCATATTTTGGGAATAAAAAACATGGCAGTCCTATTTTGGAATTTTCAAACTGTTTTAGTCCTATTTCGGGAACTTTCCCTTTAAGAAAATAGGAGATGATGTAATCCAACATGAAAAGATTATATCATCTGAATTAACATACATCCGAATTTCGTTTCTGAAACATGATCTGCTGATGATATGTTTGCAACAACTTCTACTTTTAAAAAAGTGCTTTTTTAATGAAATGGGGAAAAGTGAATAAAAGTTGATAGTGTTTGAGAAAAAAGTACTTTTGAAAAGTAAAAGTTGGTACTGTTTGGTAAAATAAGTGCTTTTTGTGTAATAGAAAAAGTAAAAGCACTTTTGACACGAAAGCCGAGAAAAACAAAAGTGATAGTGTTTGGTAAAATAAGTGCTTTTTAAAGCCAAAAGCTGAGAAGTGTTTTTTTTAAAGCGTTTGCAAACCAACCCTAAAGTTCCTTTGATCCAAACATGAAACGGGTTCTTTGATCGCCGCCCATAGCCACCACATGTTCGAATTAAATGACCGCTTTCTCCTACATACACCTCTGGGCAGTGGGGGATCTAGAACTTTTCTCAAGCGGGGCACTACTGTATGAACGCAGATGGGCCGGGTCAGATGTGAGACTAATATATTCTAGGGAGAAAGTACAAATATACCCATGTACTATGGGTGAGAGAACAAATATACTCATGTTCTATTTTTCGGAACAAATATCCAAGAACTTTTAAAAAGTGCAAAAATACCCCTCATTTTCTTATAAAGACGCAAATTTACTCTTATTGACTTTAAATAGATAAAATAAATTTCAAAAAACACCAAAACTAACATATAAATTCGAAATTTAAAAATAAAGATTTATTATTATGTTAAAATATTAACTCTTTAATTTTAAATTTCAAAATTATTATTTTTCCGTTGTAAATGAAGCACTTTAAATTCATAAATATTAATTTTAGTCTTGTTATAAAATTTTGAACACATTGTTATATTTTTTGAAATAACATTCTTTGATTTTGTTTAACCATAATAAAATTAAATTCACTATTTTGTAATCTTGAACTATTTATCATCATACAAAATATGTAATTTTATAGTGCAAAGAATGCAATTTTTTTTAATATTTAACACTTTTTTGAAAGAATCTTAAATATATAGTAATGTTTTGAAATAATATTTTATACTAAAAATATTTAAATATGATATACAAACAATAAAATGGAGAATTAGACACATGTACATTTTTTTTTAATTTTGAATTTATAATTTATTTTTGGTGTTTTTTGAAATTTGTTTTATCAATCTAAAGTTAATAAGTGTATATTTGTTTCTTTATAAGAATATGAGGGGTATATTTGTACCTTTCAAAAAGTTCAAGGGTATATATATACAATTTTACGTATATTTCAGGGGTATATTTATTCCGAAAAATAGAACAAAAGTGTATTTGTTCTCACCCCATATTATAAGGATATATTTGTATCTTTCCCCTATATTCAATGTGTAGACAATTTTTTTAAACATGAACAAGTTATTCAATTTCAGTTTCAAATGATTTACATCTATGTACAACATGTCTAGTTTTAAATCATTAAAAGCATTAAAATATTTTTTTCTAAACACGAACAAGTCACTCAATATTTTCTTGGTCAATGATGACAAACATCCCTCCGTCCCATTTTATCTGTCCTACTTTCCTTTTTGCATTGTCCCAAAATAAGTGTCATCTTTCTCTTTTTGGAAAGAAATATGTGGTTCACAACATTTCACTTTAATATAATATACTCAAATCTCAACCACAACTTTTACCTTTTCAAACACTTTGTTAAAAATTGTGTCAAAACTAAAGGAGACACATAAAATGAGACGGAGGTAGTAATATTCAGTTTCTTGAAAGAAAAACATAATACTTCATATGAATCAGAACTGAATCATCCTGGCCTCATTTTTTGTTTTGGATTAGAATTCAAGTTGTTTTTGTACCACAAACAGTCAAAATTTTGATTTAAAACTAGGACAATGTCCAACATTACACATCCTGCCACAGAATTACAGTGCTCAAAATTCCTTCATCAACTCGGGATTAAATTGTGAACCCTAACATGTAACTCCTGACCGAGCTAAACTACTATAATTTCTTGATTCTACCATCTCCCGTTTGTTACTACTACACCCTGTTCTAATAAATCTCTTATGGCATCATGTTGTTTTTGTCGAAATACGCCTTTTATTTTACACGAGGATCCCAACATTTTAGTAACATAACCATGGAGAAATATTCAAAGAAAGTTATCCACAAACTTCTTTTTTTGTACAATTGCCACAACAGCTAATTATAATTGGTAAGAAAATGATGAGTGCCCTTGATACTAACTAAGTCCCAAGTGAGGTAAAAGTCTAGAGGGGGGGGGGAATAGACTTTTAAATCTTTCCGATTTTCAGCCCATTTTCCTCTAACTGGATATGTTCCAATATCTTTTGGTAGACATTGAAACATGCAACAGAAGTCTTGACCTCAAGAGGATGACACTTTATAGAAACAAACCCCTTTTAGTTGTGAGAGATGAGTTAAACATGACAAATGACTTTAGGAGCAGGCTTCCGAAACCTACAGGAGATGGCTTCGAGATAGTTTTGGGAGCTAACTGTCAATCCTTAGGAGCAAGCTGCTGAAATAGTTTTCTGTTTGTTTTTGGTAAGCCGTAGCAGTGAATTGTACCGTGACCAGTTGACTACCGTTAGAATTATTCTAACACATGAGTATGAAGGATTTAGACCAATGGAAGTAGGTCACTTTGAAAAACAG